GGTCTTTCTCAACTCCAACCCAAAGGAGACTCTAAACACTCCTTACAAATGAACCAAATCTAGCATCACAGGTCAAAACCCTACTGCCTTGGGAACTAGTTACAACCCTTCCCCTAGCAGTTAAGTCCCCTCATAGCATGGTTCCCAAATCACTTTCGTGCTCAAGCTGGACCACATCCTTTCTTTACGTTATCTTTCAGTCTTTACACTTTTTTCATGTTGCCCCTTCCTCTAGAATACAACTCTCAAAGGTCTATTTAAAATTCAAAATGCTTCCCAGTATTCCCTGCTCTGTGAAGTCCTTCATGGTTTACTCAACCTTTCTATGAATGTTCATGTCACTTTTTACACTGCAGCACTTAGAACATTCTGCCTTGAAAAGTGCTCATCTGTGAATCTGTGTCCCTCCCCCACCATCTACCAGACTGTAGGTCCCTGAGGGGAGTTCATACATCCTCAAGTGACTTGTAGCTCCCAATACAACACACAGGAGAACAAGAACAGTCGTGCATTTTATAAATTATTACACAAATTGTACAAAAATTTAAGCCACTGTCTCATATATATTATGTTAGGTGACGATAGTGGTAAAGAACCCACTTGCCAATGCAGGAGATTCAAGAGATGCAGGTTTGATCCCTGGGTTGGGAAGATCCCCTGGAGAAGGGAATGGTAACCCACTCCAGTATTCTTGCCTGGAGCATCCCATGGACAAAGGAGCCTGGTGGGCTAGAATCCATGAGGTCACAGAGTCAGACACGACTGAAGCGACTTAGCTTGCACACGTATCTCATAAATAGGAAGAGGGAAAATGGCATTAGATGTCATGTGTCAATATACATCCTTCTGTTGATTTATAGTATAAAATTAGCAAGAAGGAAAGCAATAAAATGTTGCAACAATCATGATATCATGATATCATCTATGATAAGGAATTCTAATTAGACATCTATAAAAGGGAACCGTGAATTAGTTCAAAACAATGATTTTAAGTATCGGAATGTGAAGCAAAGAGTAACCTTAGACAGCCTGGTACTGGACAAGATAGGATGGTTTGTTAAATTTAACAAGTTCAGACTCAAGTCAACAGATCTGAGTTTGAATTTCACCTCTGCATCCTTCTACCCCTGTGGCTTTGGACAAGTTACTATGTCTCTATGCCCCAATATTCAGTGAAGTACTTAGGAAACAATAGCAATACTATGTTCTAGGCACTGGGACTACAAAAAAAAAAAAGTTCCTGACCTCAGAAACTTACATTCTAGTAGGGAAGACAGCCAATAAGCAAATACATATACAATATGGTTGTGTGAAAAAAAAAAAAAAATTTTTTTTTTGCCACACATCCTGGCATACAGTCTCGTAGTGCCTCAGCCAGGGATGGAAAATGCACCCCTTGCAGTGGGAGCTCAGAGTCTTAATCACTGAAAGTCCCCAAAGAGGTTTTTTAAATGCACGTAAAGGGACAGAGTGACCAGGAAGGCTATTGAGTTAGAGCCTTGGGCAGATGTCTATGAGGAGATAATTTCTGAATACAGAAACACCTGAGTCAAGAGAAGGAAAAAGCCAGATGGATACCTGGAGAAAGAAGCATTCTGGACAGAGGGAGCAGCACGCCTAGCATGTGCAGGGAACAACGAGGCTGGAGTGGCATGAGCTAGAAGAGTGTGGAAGAGACAGAGTCATTTTTTGAAGAGCCTTTAGGCCAAGGAAAATACTTTTTTCTAGTGAGACAGAAATTCTCTCTTATAATGGGCTTCAAGAAGGGAAAAGACCTGATCTAGATGGCAAAAGTCCCTCCAGATTGATGAATAGCACATGGAAGTTTTAAGAAGAAAAACAAAAAGACTAAACTGTGAGCCAAATGTAGTATCTATGGGTTTCCCTGGTGGCTCAGTGGCACAGAATCCGCCTGCAATACAGGAGACACAGGTTCAATCTCTGGGTCATGAAGATCCCCTGGAGGAGGACATGGAAACCCACTCAAGTATTTTTGCCTGGGAAAGCCCATGGACAGAGGAGCCTGGCAGGCTACAGTCCACAGGGACACAAAGAGCTAGACATGACTTGTGACTAAACAACAACATCTACGCAAAAAGATGGTGGCAGCAAGGGAAGATAAATAGAGAATGATTGCTGATGGACTCTATGTGGGGTGCGAACTCTCACTGGACGTATGGTCCCAATTAATCTTGCTGATTCTTATATTGGTGAGATATATTTAAAGACAGAAGGTATTAGAGAAGGAAATGGCAACCCACTCCAGTATTCTTGCCTGGAGAATCCCATGGACGGAGGAGCTTGGTAGGCTACAGTCCACGGGGTTGCAAAGAGTCAGACATGACTGAGCGACTTCACTTTATTACAGCTCAAAGAACTTAAACTAGTTTTAGCCCTAAAAATGAGCTATATCTGGTACACTGAAAAAGCATATACTACAAACAGAAAGTGACTTATTACAGGTCAAGGATTTTTCTCCTTACAATACTACTAAATACACATAACCATTTTGCCTGTATTTTAAAACATACCAAAAAATACATCATGAACTATGAACAAAAATGTTCCATTTGGGTTCCTGGAGGTAAAACAGAAGTGTGAGGTCCCCCTAACGACTCGGGGTAGGAGGTGGGGTAACTGAGACTTTAACTCACACCTGTCTACACTGAGCCTCCCAAGAATTCATCAATTACAGTTCAGGTCTTCCTACCCTGGCACTGGATTTTATGGAGGTTTCTGTTGTGGCAAGCTGTGATTCTCTGTATTCACCTGTCTCTCCAATTCCAGGCACAGCAGTTTGCCCTGTGACCTCACTTTTCTGGCAAATCCAGGAAGAGCTGTTCATTTTTCAGTCTGTTCAGCTTTTCACTTATTTTAAAGAAGAGTGATGACTTCCAAACTCCTTACACACTGGACCAGAAACCAGAAGTCAGTCACTTTTTATAATTTTATTCATAAAAGTTCAAACATCTCTTGTTAGATTTATTGTAAGGCACTTCTGACATACTAATGTTATAAATGACATCTTTTCAAAAATATTTTTCAACTCTCTGTGTTTGAACTACAGAAAAACACTGAATCATCTTCCTAAACTCTAATATCATTTCTAATAGTCGACTTGTAAATTATCTTGGCTTTTTCTATGCACAATCATATAACATGTGAACGAAGGCATGAAAGGGATGTGGAACGGACTGAATAACAATCCCCAAAGATGTCCACATTGCAATTCCCAGAAACCTGTGAATATGTTACTTTACATAACAGACTCTGTAGATATGTCTAAATTAAAGATCTTGATGTGGAGAGGTTTTTCTGGATTATCCAGCTGGGCTTTAGAAGAAAGTGGAGAAGGGTCAGCATCAAAAAAGGCAATATGGTGATGAAAGCAGAAAGACAGGTGATGACAGAAGCAGAGGCCGGAAGGATGCGCTTTGAAGATAGAAGAAGATGCCACAGGGAAGGAATGCAGGAAGCTGAAACAGACAAGGAAACAGATTCTCCCCTAAAACTTCCAGAAGAAACACAGCCCTGCTGATACCTTGACTTTAGTTCCACAAGACGAATTTTGGGCTTTTAAAAAATTTTTTAATTGGAGTAAAACTGCTTTACAAAGTTGTGTTTCTGCCGTACAATGTAAATCAGTCATAATTATACACATATCCCTTCCCTCTTGATAATTTTGAACTTCTGATCTCCAGCACTATAAGAATAAATGTGTTGTTTCAAACACACCTTCCCCTTCACCCTCCCCCTTCAAAAAAAGGTTCAATATTTAAAATTGCAATAATCCAGTATATCAGTCCTGGGTGTTCACTGGAAGGACCGATGTTGAAGCTGAAACTCCAACACTTTGGCCACCTGATGTGGAGAGCTGACTCATTTGAAAAGACCCTGATGCAGGGAAAGATTGAGGGCAGGAGGAGAAGGGGACGACAGAAGATGAGATGGCTGGATGGCATCACCGACTCGATGGACATGGGTTTGGGTGGGCTCTGGGAGTTGGCGCTGGACAGGGAGGCCTGCCGTGCTGCAGTTCATGGGGTCACAAAGAGTCAGACATGACTGAGTGACTGAACTGAAACTGAAAATCCAGTATACTTCAGTCTCAGGATACCTTACTCAAACAAACATATGATTTAATTTAAGAGAATGGTTGAGATGATTTATGACAGAATGAATCAAAGTTATTAAGCAGTAACTCTGAGCAAAGCCAGACAGGGGGTTGACTACAATCTGAGTTTCCGGCAATCTCTCAGGAATCCTCAGAAACAACAGCAAGATCGGCTGGAGCCAGATGTCAGAGGGCAGTCAAAGGACATCTCTCAGTCCCTGTGGTTTCGTTATTTAATCTCAGCCCTTTCTTATATTTTTGTGGTCCTGGGTAACTTCTGTGTTTAAAACACTCTAGTTTTCGTACTCTTCTGGGTAGTGTTACACGTTACTTGCTAAAAAGAATTTATTAGTTGAAACAAGACAGGAACTCTTGCAACAAAGAAACAGTTCTACGATATACTTAAACATTCAAATTCTTATCCCAAGTATAAAAAATACAAACACCGAAAGGTTAAAGAGATAAACTCTTCATCTTCAACAAACTGTTTTTTAAGGGCTAAGAAAATGTTTGCGGTGCTATCTTTGTAAATTTTAACCATTTCTTCTCTGTATATATTACATGCCCAAATACTGTGCATCTAGTGTCGCATCAACGGCGCTTAATCAATAAAGAACAGTATCTGGCCTGTGCTCTTTGGGCTGGAGTGGTTGGGGGAGATTAGTGGCTACAAGCTCAGGAGCAAAGTGGAAGGAGCAATCAGGAAGGCGGGGTGAAACTCAGGGGCTCGCGGACACAGGCCTTGGTAGAGGGGAGTGCTAGAGAAGGCTCACGGTGGCATCGTCCCGCGCGCGGCTGCCGGCGGCGGGCGAAGGGCCGGGTTCAGTCGCCGTCCCGTGCCCAGCAGAGCCGGGCGGAGGACGGGACTGGATGGCCACTCACTCACCTGGTTGGTGACCTGAAATGGAAGCAGAAAACACAATTAAGGGAACAGTCTTTCTTGTTTCGGAGCCCGCTGCCCCAGTTCCTTCCAAGCCAGACCTTACCTTGGACTTAGCATCCAACTGGGGCTCACCGGACTCCTCCATAGCACGGCTCAGGGATCCCACCATCCACTCAGGTGGTCGCTCCCAGGAGCCACAAACACTTCCGCTTCCTCTTCCCGCCCCTCGAGGCCCGGAGCACGCAGGGTACGTGGGGGAGGAATACAAACATCTTTGTATTAGTCTCCTTAGTCTCAATCAGACGTTAGTTTCATGGAGCCGATCAGTAATAAAGAAAATACTGTAAAGGAACAGGGTTTAATATTTGGCATACAACCTGTGAAGGGAAGGAGCGATTATCTTCAGGATGCCGCCGCCCCCTACCTATCCCGTAGACATGGATTCATCCTGTCTGCCGCCCACAGCGCCTTCTGCGCAAGCGCAGACTTGTGGCGGCGCAGACTGGTTAGAAGTCGACGCTAGTTCAGTTCAGTCCCTCAGTCGGGTCCGACTGTTTGTGACCCCATGGACTGCAGCACGCCAGGCATTCCTGTCCATCACCAACTCCCGGAGTTTACTCAAACTCATGTCCAGTGAGTCGGTGATGCCGTCCAACTATCTCATCCTCTGTCGTCCCCTTCTCCTCCCGCCTTCAATCTTTCCCAGCATCAGGGAGTTCTTCGCATCAAGTGGCCAAAGTATTGGAGTTTCAGCTTCAGCATCAGTCCTTACAGAGTCTCATTTTAAAAAGGAGACCTGATAGGTTAAATGCCTGGCTTATAGAAACATGATAATATTAGGGTAGTCATGATTTCTTATTGGGGGTACACTTTTTTATCCATACTGCCGAAAAATGAGGCCAAATTATATTAGGTTTTGATATGTTCTTAAGAATTGCAAAAAGTTGTTTTAGGATGGTTGCTTGGCAATGAAACACAGGCTAAAGGCAGATGACACGGTCTCTACACATAAAGAAAGCGGGACGTATTCCTACTGGGATAAATAATATAAGACAGTAATCATAGTGGTGTGCCATGAATAAGTTACAGGTGTGCAGAGAAACCGACCCTCTCCAATAGCTCCAGGGAAAGAAGGGTGGGGCCTTGTCTTAGAAGATTCCCTGAGCTAGTTATGACTGCTTTGTCAACCTTATTTGATAAGTCAGGTGCTGAAATCCCAGATTTCATCAATTGTTAGCTGCATATTTTTTCTAATTTGACTCCTCAGAAATCATACTGCACGTTGCTTCAGATGGCTCCTTACAATGGCAGATAGTTAGGCAGCAGGTGTGACTCAGCTGTCTTTGCATGTGTGTGCATGAACTTGGTTATAGCTGTTCAACACTTCTATTGAATTACGGGTATTGTTGGCTGTGTACATACCATGTTCAAATGCCATGTGAAATGCCTTTTAAAAGATTATGCTGTGATTTGGGATAACAGAAAGCTACCAGGAATGGAACCAGGCAGGAAAGAGAACAGTGGGTTGGTTGTAAACTTATACCAATAAGGCAAATATGGGTTATTGGAAGAAGGACCAAAATTCCACATCTTACAAATCAACCGAATTACAATTTCCAAAAACGTGAGTAGACTTAAGTAAATAAAACAAAAAGGTTGGGAACTTCCCTGGTGGTCCAGTGGCTAAGACTCCTCACTCCCAATGCAGGGGCCCTGGGTTCGATCCCCAGTCAGGGAACTAGATCCCACATGCTGCAACTAAAAAAATAATTAAAAAAAAAAAAGGTTGCTTATTTCAGTTCAAGGTTGGAGAAGTTGCCAGATCCCTCAGAATACAAGAAAGAACTTGATAAAAATAAGAGCAGTTTTAGGGTCTCAAATACTTTTATTAAGACATCAAACATCAATTTGTCAAAAACTTCCTGATGTGTTTAAATAGAAGCTGCCAAATTTGTAATAATTGCTGGGAAAATGAGACTATGAGTTTAGTCATGTAGGAAATAACATTTTTGCAGGTAACAACTACATGTTTTTATTTGGTTATTTGAATTTGGGGCAGCTGTATCAACTGACACCTGATTACTCCTCTGAATTTGAGTATGAAAATTTGGGGCAGATCTAGCAATTAGGTGTTGCTGTATAAACCCTGCCACCACCACCACCACAAATTCCCAATGTCATATTACAAGCAAACATTTATTTAGCTTACATGTCTTGGGGGTTAGCAGTGGACTGGCCAGTGGAGGCTGGGCTCAGCCGAGGTGCTTCTGCTGTGTTCCAAGTGTCTACTACTCTTCCTGGAACCAGCAGGCTGGCCCAAGCTCATTCTGCTCTAGTTGATGATACAAGTACAAACAGCAAGCAGAAGCTTATTTAGGCCTGGCCTTGGAACTGGGATACCATTATTTCTTCTCCACTTCATTGACTGTAACGGATCACATGGCTGAACTCAAAGTCAAGAAGTAGGGAGATATACAGTTGATTCTCATCATAAAGAAACCACGAACATTGAGTTAGTAAATGCCGAACCATTGCTCCTCATGGGAACAGGTTAAGTTCTTGTGAGCCTCTGGTCACATTTTAATCAACCAATCAATATATTTTTATGTATATTTTTGTTTAAAGTCACCACATTTAATCTATATTATTGATTCATTAACACTGATCCCAGGGCTAACAACACTATAACTCATGCCTGAAAGAACTTACCTAATATTTGTATTTTCTCTACAAGGCACGTCACAGTCTTCCTGTATGTGGGAACACAAAACAGCACATGAGCACAATGCCTGGGGCCATTCTGTACAGTGAAATCATCAACAAAAAGCACAAAACTGCATATATATATATATATATATATATATATATATGGCATTAAATAGACTGCATAAAGGATACATTTCCAATACAAGACTTCAAACAAGATGGCAGAGGACAGACTTGCTTCACCTCAGCTGGGAACTCAATATTTTTGCTACTCCAGGCATGTCTGTAAATGACCTTGAAAGTGACATGAGTAGCGATATGGGGGTTACAAATAAATGTAAACAAATAGATAAACCAAAACACAGAACCTATGAATAATGAGAATTGACACTACGTTGCTCCTAGTGGAAAACACTCCAATGTTATATGGCAAAGGGTACAGATAAAGGAAGAATTTAAAAATGGGGGCCTTACATATATGTATAACTGAATGACTTTGCTGTATACCAGAAAATAACACAACATTGTAAATCAATTCTACTTCCATTAAAAAAAAAAACAAAAAAAACCCCCCAAACATGGGGGTCAATAATGCATCATGGGCCCCATCTTAGACTTACTGAATCAAAGTTTGCATTTCATATTCCCCAGGTATTTGTATGCACATTCAAGTTTAAAAAGTACTGGCCTTATGGATACATGCATGCATGCCAGAGGCTGGGAGTTAAACCCTACAAACATCAGAGGCTACTACATTCATGAAGCTTTTATGGGTCCAAAGGCCTAGGGCATAAGAGGACAACCTCTCTAAGGTGAAGGATTGGCTATTGCACCCTGCAATTTCTCTTTAACAGGCAAAAATGGAGCACTTGGTGGGATTCTGGCTTTTAGAGGCAGCAAATGCCTCATTTGGGAATACAGGCGTAACACATTTATGGGTAATATGGCTGGCTGCCGGTTGCAGTAGGTCCCTGAGCAAGACAGTGCTCTATAGCAAGTCCATGCTGGAATACAAGCTGCCTACTGTTTGACCCTATCTCTCAGCAGATCCAATGGTACTACAGAGGTCCATGCTGCTGGGAGTCCTAGGCAAGCCATAATAGGAGCGTCAGAGTGCAGGACCTCATGATTCTGGAGAAACATCATTCCCCTGACAACAGGTCATCTGAAAAACAGCCCCTGGCATGCCATTAAGAGCCTGGCTGTGCAACTGAAGTGATGATGCAACTGTGGCTGCTCATCATAAGCTGGGCATCTCAGATTTAACAACTCGCAGCTGGGTGGATATAGCAACAGTCTCTCAGATGTATAGAGAATGGGGACTCTTGGAAATTCCTTGGAAATTCCACTCTTGGTGGCCATTCTTCATAAGAACATAAGTGGGAAAACTAGAAGTTCCCCAAGCAAGGCCAACTCAATGTAATAATCTTTTGCCCACTCCCTAACTGCTCATCTTCCTGCTTTCCCTCTCTTGGGTGCAGCAATAATACACTCTATCCCAAGTCAGATCTCTGGTGTCATCAATGACAACCACGGCTCAACAGAAGGATACCCCCTTCCAACAGAATCTCGTTAATCTGTGTCTGCCCCTCCATCTCCATGGCTATTGCCTTAGTTAAGTCTCTCATCATTTTACTCTGGCAAATTTCCCACATTACTGAAAATAGCGTTTCTGCATATCTGATTATTCCATTCATTCCTCAAATATTTATTCAGCATCTACTGTGTATCAGGCATTGGGTTAGGCTTTGAGGAAAACAATGTGAAGGAAAAAAAAGCACTTCAGGCCTTACGGAATTAGCCTGAAAAGAGAAATGAAAATCCTTCTTAAAATCCTTCAGAGGTTCCCCCTTGTTTTCAGGATGAAGCCCTGATGTTTGGACCAGCTGAAAGTGAATGTGTTAGTCAGTCCTGTCCCACTCTTTTGCGACTCAATGGACTGTAACCCACCAAGCTCCTCGGTCCATGGAATTCTCCAGGCAAGAATACTGGAGTGGGTTGCCATTTCCTTCCCCAGGGATCTTCCAAACCTAGGGATCCAAGCCTGGTCTCCTGCATTGCCGGCGGATTCTTTATCATCTGAGCCACCAGGGAAGTCCCTGCCTATCTCTCCAGCATCGCTTCTAACCACTGCCCTTCAGTCTTGCAGGTTCCATAGCCACAGTGCACACTCTCCCTTCTTCAGAGCACCCTCTTCTCTGAATGGCTAACATCTACTTTTTAAAGGGCTCACTCCAGCTGTCCACCTCCTCCAGGAAGCCTTCTGGAAACTCCCCCCTTTAGCTGCCTTTTTCTGTAGTTTCGCCCACCTCATGCTAACATTATAACACGTATCACATGTACTGTGATTCTTCGTTCTTTTGCCCACTTCTTCCACACTATGGTAAGCTCAGCTTATTGTATCCAACACTTAGTTACAGCGTTTGATTCATAATAGGTACTTGACATTTTTTTGTCAAAAGGAACTGTGTAGGTACATACAAATACCCCCGACTCTGTAACAGCAGGCAAGGCCAAGACATCACTTCTGTACCGTGGTAAAGGAGCTTCTTGGCATGACTCCGTCACCCTCTGGCTGTGGGGCCTCCTGGAGGGCAGTGCCCGGCTCCTCCGTGGATGAATAGGACTCAGCGGCACGCCCCCTAGCGCCTCGGGCTGACTCTGCAGGAATGGGAGGGCGCCGGTGAGCACGCGGTCTTAGACTCGCGCTTGGCGCATGCGTGGCACGCGAGCGGGCCCTTGGGCTCAGAAGAGTCCAAGCGTGAGGGGAGCGAGCTGTGGAGCGAGCTAAGATTCTTTTCCCTTCTGCAATAGAAAGCTGGATCCTATCTTTCAACCTCTCATTGTTTCTTAACTTAAAGTTTAAGTCTTGAATTATGGTTCTATATGGAGCTAGAAAGGACCTAGAGTGTCATTAAACTTTTCTTTGCCTTCGGACACCCCTCCTAGGGGGAGCAGGGTGGACAGTCCCAGGTCAGGGCCGCGGGGGCGGAAGCGGCGGCGGCGACGGCGGCGGCTGTCAGAGCTGGAGAGGGGCCGGGCGGAGCGGCCATGGAGGGTCAGCGCTGGCTGCCGCTGGAGGCCAATCCCGAGGTGAGCGCGGCTCCGGTCTCGGCCTGAGGCCGCGGGCAGGAGCGGAGGGGACCGGGCTGTTGCAGATCGTCCCGGGCAGTTTGTCGCTAAATCGTGTTCTCTGTTTCGTTTTCAGGTCACCAACCAGGTGAGTGAGGTGTCTTGTCGCTCGGGACCCGGGAGCCTTCCTTGGCTGCCTACAGCCCCGCACTCCCTTGGAGTCTGGGATTTAACTTCGTGCGGGTCCCTCTTGCTCAGCTTTAGATGGACGTGCTTTTTTTTTTTTTTTTTATGGCTGCCTCCATCCCTCCTGGTTCCTGGAAAGATGCTCCCAGCTGTCTCTGGTCCTATTCCCCGTCATCACGTTTCCTGGGATTTCAGGGTCGGAGGTTTGAGGGACATTCACCCTGTAATCCTATTTCTCTTCCCTCTAAGTCTTGCCTTCTGCTAGTGCCGAATCCATAATTGTCCCACCCCTATACCTTCCAGGTGACTAATTTCCCTACAGTACCTGACTCTAAGCTTTGTAAACTCGCCCACCCAGTCCTTGTAATTTCCTGCGCCACCTGCTCTGTGAAACCATCTTCAGTCATCTCTTGCCCCATCAAGTCAACATCCCTTTCCCACCACACCCCCTTTCTCTTCCAGTTCCTTAAAAGTGGAATTCAATTTTTTATGCCATAGGAAAGCTCAGTTCCCACGTCATCCTTTGCCACCTTCAACTCTTTAAATTCGTTTGGGTGTTGGATGGGGAGGGAAGAGGGAACCTCTCCCAGCCACTCAATTAAAAGGACAATAAGTACTACCAGGTATAAACTTTTTATTTGCTTAGGTGTATTTTGTCTTATCCTCTTTTTCATTCTCAACAACAGGTTTACTTTTTACTGCCCTCTTATTTTATCATATGGTACAGTTTTCCACCTCCTTAACCTTCCTATTCATCACCAAGGAATAATGATTCATTATTTTTGGTACTTAGTTTTTGGTTTTGAAAAAATTCCTTATATAAAGAAAGCAGATAGAATGCTTTATCTCAGGGTAGTCAACAAACACTTTATTTTTTAATTCAGCTTTATTTTACACTTCTGAAATGATCATTTGTCCCTCAACTTTTGTTTCTTTACTAATCTAGAAATGTACAAAGCTTGGAACACAGCATATATCTTTTACGTTATTGTTAAGGTGGCGTTTCCAATCAGCGTTAATTTTCTTTTGTTTTACCTCCTTTGGTTGTTGTTCATTTCCCCCCCCTACAACATTTTGATGCTTTTGTTAAGAAAAATCTTTGAGGCCAAAGAAGTTGGTATTTCCAACTTCTGATTTAGTGCCATAGGAAAGAAGCATATTTCTCTCAGACTTAATCCCTCAATTTTTCTATAGCTTTAGTGAAAAATCAATTTGCCATATATCTGGACTCTGTTCTGTTCTGTTGATCTATGTGTCTGTTTTCATTATTGTAGTTTTATAGTAAGTCTTGAAAATAATAGTATGAATTCTCAAACTTCACTCCTTTTCAAAATTGTTTAGGCTGTTTTAGTTTCTTTGTCTTTCAGTATAAATTTTAGAATCAGCTGAGAAGCTGATGGAAAGATTTGTGTAAATTAAGAAATTTATACAAAAAATTCTGCTATGATTTTGATAGTGAATGTGTAACTAAGTCTATAGGTACATTTTGGAGAAAATTAACATCTTAACTAGAGAAGGCAATGGCCCCCACTCCAGTATTCTTGCCTGGGAAATCCCATGGATGGAGGAGCTTGGTGGGCTGCAGTCCATTGGGTCTTGAAGAGTCAGGACTGAGCGACTTCACTTTTCACTTTTCACTTTCATGCACTGGAGAAGCAGATGGCAACCCACTCCAGTATTCTTGCCTGGAGAATCTGAGGAACGGGAGCCTGGTGGGCTGCTGTCTGTGGGGTCGCACAGAGTCGGATACGACTGATGTGACTTAGCCGCAGCAGCAGCAACATCTTAACAGTATCGAGTTTTGCGTTTCATGAAGATGGTGCATCTCATCATTTGTTTGGGTCTTCTTTGATTTCTTTCAAAAGTAGTCTGTTGTTTTAGCATGTTGGTCTTGCACTTTTTGTTTGTTTATACCTAAGTATTTAATGACTTTTTGGCACTACTATAAATGGTACTGTTTTAAAATTTTATTTTCTTGTTGTCTGTTGCTGTATAGAGAAATAGACATTATTTTTGCATATTCACTTCGTAGCCTAATGCTGTGCTAATTCATTTACTTTAGTGGCTGTTTTTGGTAGATGCTTTGAGATTTTCTAAATAGACAGTCATAGTCTCTGTGATTAGACTGTTTTATTTTTCCCTTTTCAGTCTGAATGCCTTTTATTCATTCTTGTTGCACTGGTTAGGACCTTTAATACAAAATTGAGTAGAATGGAGAGAGAGGACACCCTTGTCTTGTTCAGGATCTTAGAGGGAAAACATTTGATCTTTCATCTTTAGATATGTTAGTTGTAGGGTTTTGGTAGATATTTTTTATCATGTTAAGGAAGTTCCCTTTTCTGAATTTGCTGAGATTTTTTATCATGGATCAATGTTGAATTTTCTCAAATGGCTTTCCTGTGTCTCTTGAGGTTATCATTTAAGGAAGAAGTAATACCAGTCCTACAAAAACATAGAAGGAGGGGCACTTCCCAACTCTTTTTATGACCAGCATTCCCAGGCAAGCCATAAGAAAAACTGCAGATTAATATCCCTCATGAACATGGATGTAGAAATCCTCTACTGAATATTTGCAAAGAGAATGTAGCAATGTATAAAAAGGATAGTATATCCTAAGAACAGTTTATTCTAGTATTGTAAAGCTGGCTCACTGTTAACTATCAACAGACTTAAAAACAATCATTTTTAGACAATATTGTTACCTTAATAAGATGGAAGCTTTTATAATTGGAAACTTAGATCTTGGTAGACTGTGAAACCCATTCACTTATTCACATCAATTAACTAATATTTGGGGGACACCTTTTGGAATACCAGGTACCTGAGAAGGAGCTGGTTATATTTGGTGATGAAAACATTTATCGTTTTCTGCTTTTCAGTCCTTTGGGAAGACAGACAATAAACAAGTAAAAGAAAAAAGGAAACAGCATTTACTATAAGTGCAGAGGAGAAAATTAGTGGTACAGTGATGAAGACCATCAGGGAAAACATACTAAGTTGAATGGTGACAGGAGGCCATTCTGAGTGACATAAACAGAGAAAGATATTATTAGTATATGATTGTACAGTTTCTGGCATGCTTTGGTGTGATTACGTTTGTTTTAAATTTATTATTTAAAGAAGTAATGCACATTTAGTGGGAGAATGGACAAGTAATCTAAAAAGTGATTAGTTTTAACCAAAATTTTTGTAGTTGTTTCTTTATTCTCTTTGTGTTAGTGGCAGAACTGAGAATCTAAAATGAATAGAAATTGAATTAACTCACAGCCATAGAGTAATCCCAACAACCATATCCACCTCCACCTTTTCTTATTTCCTCAATTTAATGGAACCCTAGGCCTTTTACTTATCTTGGTTTCACTCTGTTACCATTTGGTGGTTGCATGTGTTATTATTGTACTCAGTGTCAGCAAACACTGTTTAATGTTGACTAGTTTGTATAAGAATGATTAATACATGTCAACTATATGAAGATCGTTATTAACTGTTGCATGTTAACTGGTAACCACATGTCTCGGTAGGTGTAGTAAGTAGTAATTTCTTTTGTTGCTTACTATGCTATCATCAATCTCTTCTCAGGATATTTTGTCTTACTCTAGGTAGAACTTACCTAGAATAAAATCAGTTCAATGACAGAAAAAAATCATTGGAAAAACTTAAGCTCTATTCTGTTTATATATGCATTTACAGAACTGATAGCTTAAGGCCAGTGGAAAGTTACAAGTAATTAAGCATCAGGAATTATAACATTTTTTACAAAGAACATTCTGTGCTATGGACAATCATAGCATTTATTTTTATGATCACACTAGATTTTCATCTTGATTATGTTTTGTGATTTGAATATTACACGGCCACAGTTTATAATTTTGAATATTGTTGTGTTTTAGACCCATTGATTTCTGATATGACAATTTCCTAGAAATATTCCTCATTGTGGATTTTATTGAAGAGGCCAAAAGTGAAGAAAGTGAAAGTCACTCAGTTGTGTCTGACTCTTTGCAGCCCCATGGATTATACAGTCCATGGAATTCTCCAGGCCAGAATACTGGAGTGAGTAGCCTTTCCTTCTCTAGGGGATCGTCCCAACCCAGGGATCGAACCCAGGCCTCCTGCATTGCAGGCAGATTGTTTACCAGCTGAACCCCAAGGGAAGCCCAAGAAGAGGCTGAAGGAAAAGAAATTTACTTTAACATTATTATTGTATTTAGTTTAGTTGCTTAGTGTTGGAAAAAGAATTAGAAGTCATGTGCTGGATAGTTGGCATGAAGATGCAAACATTTGTTAGTTGGGGTTTCCCTTCTTGGGAAAAACATGCTTGTTACCCTGTCCTCTAGCTACTGTCTCCTTTCTGCTTCCCTTCTTTGTAAAATTTCCACAAAAAAATTGTCCGTAGATGCTCTTGCTGCTTTTATCTGCAATTTTTTCCTGTATTCACCCCTATCCTCACCATTTCACGGTAACTACTTTTATCAAGTTTACTAATCACCACTTTGTCAGATCCAGCATTCACTTTTCTCTCACCATTTTCTCGATCTCTCAGCAACACTTGGTAGAGTACCCACTCTGTTGGCTTCTGTGATAATTCTGCTTGCCTCCTATTTCTCTGACTGCTTCCTAGATTTGCCATTGCTGGATCATCTCCCTTCCAGTTTCTGAAGAGTTCCTCAGGGCCTTGTCTAGATTGCTAATCTTTTCTGTTGTTGAGCATTAATATCATCAGCTGTCACATGTTTGATCCCATGTTCCCCCAAGTCCTGACTTCTCTACAGAATTGGAAACTAATATATTCAGCCACCACTTTGATATCTCCATTTAGATATAGGTATCTCAAACTTAACATGGCTGAAAAAGAAATCTGGATTTACATCCTCTCATCTCTCCTCCAAATCTGCTTCCCGAGTCTTTTCAGGGTAGTTCCATTTATCCAGTGCTCAAGTCGATGTCATTGATTGCACTGCT